GGGTGGGTGGGTGGACAGAACGGATGGACGCTCAAGGGTCGCTTTGTGGTAACAAGGGCGCCCTCATTGCCCGTGATGAGATTTGTCAACAGCTCCTCAAAGGAATTAGCTTGAATTCAGTGCATGGCTCGGTGTGCGAACAGGCAACCCTGACCTTGCCCTGCACCACGCTGTCCTCACACACGCCCACCCTCGCCCCGAAAGGATGCTGGTCGCCGGAGGCACGCCGGCGGGCTTTGAGGAACTCGTGCCTGCCAAGCCTCCGGTCCTGGCGCACGCCCCTGCTATGCCTGATGAGGGCAGCGTCTACGACTTTGTGTGGGATCCCAAGGCAGCAGCCCCCAGGGGTGAGGGCCGTGCGGGCCGCTGCGCTTTACATGCCTAATGCAGGGAAACGCACCATCAACCTCTGTGTTTGCATCGGCCTACATTTTGGCCCCGAACCAATCATGCCTTACCCCTGCTTGGCTGATCACCAATTGACTGCGTGCGGAAGGCGGTGTGGCTTGCTCATAAAGCCAAGTATCTCCTCCACCTGTTCTTGACGCTCAGGCTCGGGCGCCTGGCTGCCCTGGAGCGGCGTCATGCGGGCGCTGTCGATCCCCCAGGGCGCCTCGTTTGGTGACATCATCGTGCCGACCGTGGACACGGCCAGGTGCGCCGTCGTCATGGAATCTTTGCTCGCTGAACACCACACCGCGCCTGCCCACACCCTGCGCAGCTCGTGTCTTGTCAACTCCCGTTCGCCTTGTGATATGATGCGTGTCAATGATGCGCCTGCCGTCCAGCCACCCTTGCTGGGTGTGTAGTCGTGCCTGGACAGCTGACGACGCCCTGCCTGCGCCGCAGTTGTCCTGGCCCTGTTTGAGCACCGATTTGCACGCACTCGTCACCTCATATTCCAATCCGAATCCTTTTGATCTCTGCAGGTACTCATTTCTGTTTGACCTATCCCTACGCCAGCGCTATCCCCTGCTGCTGGTTGGACCCACGGGCACCGGAAAAACCACTCTTGTCATGCGGCACCTGCTTGGCAGCGGCAAGGGCGGCGGCGGCGGGGGCGCGGAGCCAGAGGAAGCGGCCGAGGCCGCGGAGACAGCCGCCGAGGGCGGGATGGGGGCGGCGGCGGCGGCGGCGGCGCTTGTGGGGGGCATGGCGGCTGACAAATGGGTGCCTGTGTTCCTGACTCTCAGCGCGCGGACGACAGCCAACATGGTGCAAGACCAGGTGAGACTTTGTATCTGGGGGACACCGGCGAGCCACCTCTGCAATTGAGAATCGCCGTGCAAGGAGGGCTTTGAGGCTGCTGCGTTTTGTGGGTGTGAGCGCCCACCTAGTGCACACTTCTTGGGATGTCAGCAGTGCTGCGGACGTTGGCACTGGACCCAATCGCCGACAAAAGCATGCGGTTTCCCTCCCTGAATTCGGCTGCACCCTCTGACCACCCTGCCCGCCAGGTGGACGGGCGCCTCGACAAGCGTAAGAAGGGCGTTTACGGCCCGCCGATCGGGCGGCGCGCCATCGTGTTTGTGGACGACCTTAACATGCCGTCAAAAGAGGTGCGCCTTCTGTTCTAACTGTCCTTTGCAGCCTGTGTGTCAGCCGGCGGCCGGTGAAACCCGGCTGCTTCGTGAAGCTGTACCTTTGTTGGTGTCTTCATGGCACTCGCAGACCGTGACTTGGCTTCTGAGAGCCGAGCCTGATGCTGCGCATGCTCCGCGCCGTCACCGGTGCCTCGCACGCAGACCTATGGCGCCCAGCCGCCGCTGGAGCTGCTGCGGCAGGTCATGGACCAGGGCGGCTGGTACGGCAGGTGAGGCTTGTGTGATGCGATGTGCGGGTCGCGTGTGACCAAGTTTATCTGCTGGTGCTTGAATTCCTACAACATAATTCAAAAATTACAAGAAAGCCAACCTAACGGGAAGCACTTGGTGCTGCTAAGCAGTTGTGTCTGCTGGTGGGTTGTGTTCATCCCTTCCATTTGAATCCCTGGTCGCCGTCGAAGCTGTTCCTGCGCCCGCCGCGCAGGGACAACGTGTGGCGCGCCACTGCAGACGTGCAGTGGGCGGCGGCGATGGGCCCGCCCGGCGGCGGCCGCACGTTTGTCAGCGGCCGCGTGCTGCGCCACTTCAGCACGCTTGCGTGCGCCCAGGTATCGTTCAAACGCCCGCGAAAGCCTGCTGCCGGCACCTCGCTGCTGCTTGAGCTCAACACACACACGTGTTTGTATTCCAGGCGCTGGCCCTCTTCACTTGCATTCCTAAGCAATAAATATGCTGCTGGTGCAACCTGACGACCCTTCAATACTCATTCTTGCCATCCACCCCTTGAAAAGGCGTCCGACGAGACCCTCACCCACATCTTCAAATCGATCCTCTCGTGGCACCTGTCAAAGCGCGGCTTCCCCGCCGGCCTCGCGCCCCTGGCCGGGCCGCTTGTGGCCGCGACCCTCGACGTGTACACCGCGGCGGCCGCCAAGCTGCTGCCGACGCCGGCGAAGAGCCACTACCTTTTCAACCCCCGCGACTTTGCGCGCGTGATCCAGGCGCGTGCGCCGCGCGGCGGGCAGCACTGCAATTTGATGACAGGAGATCCAACACATTTCAGCTGCTGTGCGGCGTCTGGACCATACGTCACCTTGCAGATGCTTGAATCTTCCAAAGCTTTGAGGCCTCACTGCCCCCAGTTATCCAATACACATGACACCCACCACCCCCTAGCTCCCTGCAAACCCTAAACCCTAAACCCTGACCCCCCTCTTGAACCCTCAGGGCATGATGATGATGCCACCCAGTGCATTGTCCCGGGCCTCCGACCCGCAGGGCCCAGCAGACGGCGCCTCCTCATCTGCCGCGCGCGCCCTGAAGCGCCTCTGGCTGCACGAGGCGCTGCGGGTGTTCTATGATAGACTGGTCGACGCCGCCGACAGGGAGTGGCTGCTCGAGCAGCTGCGCGGCAGCTGCCGGGGCCGGCTCGGGGAGGAGGTCGACGGGCTGCTGGCGCACCTGCCGCAGCAGGCGGCGGCGGCGGCGGCCGCGGCTGCGGGCAGCGGGGCGGCGGCTGGAGCGCAGGGCGGTCGTGTCGGTCAGGAGGAGCTGAGGAGGTGGGCGGGGGTGCGGCTGGGCAGAACTGATGACTCCTTTCTTCAAAGCGGCGCCGCGGTCGCGCGTTCCTGTTGTGCACATTATCTTGTCGCAAATGCTCTGGCGTACCTTCTTATCCCTTGCCCTGTCGAAATCCTCAACGATCTCCCTTGCTGAAACCCAAACCCTTTGCTTGGCTCCCCCGCCTTGATCCCGCACCCGACGGCCCAAAAGGCTGTTCTTCGGCGACTTCTTGAACCCTGCAGCCGACCCCCTGGAGCGCCCCTACGCCGAACTGCCAGACGCGTCCAGGGCCACCGCCGCGGTGGAGGAGGCCCTGGCTGACCTGAACGCCCAAAGCCGGCGGCCGATGCCGCTGGCGGTGTTCCTCTTCGTGGTGGAGCACGTCAGCCGGGTCTGCAGGTGCGCGGGAAGTCAATAATGCGCACGAGGGGATGGTACTTGAGCTGTGTTGGGTGCTGTGACCTAAGCCCCCTCATCCCCTGGATCCTGAATTTAGCTGGATCCAAGTCATGCAAGCTCCGTCAGCCCAAAATCGTTGCGTCCGGCATTGCCAATCACCAGCACAGCGACTTACGTATCAACCGTCGAATCATGGTACGTGATTGCATAACCGCCCCCAGGGTGCTGAAACAGCCCGGCGGCAACATGCTGCTGGTGGGCGTCGGCGGCAGCGGGCGTCAGAGCGTGGCGCGGCTGGCGGCCCACATATCTGGGATGGAGGTCTTCCAGGTGGGGCCTGGGCTTAGGGTTTGAGGATTGATACGCGACTTGTACAGGGTCCAGGTTTTGAGTAACGGCTAGAATCTGGGTCTAGGGTGGTCAGGGGGTGGACGTCAGGGTTTGGGGGTTGGGAAGTTAGCACATTTTGGGTTTCAAGGGACGCGAAGCTGCTTCTAGGGTTCAGGTTTCAGGGTGAGCAAGGCGGCTTTGTGGGGTCGCACCACGGGTCAAGTATCGGAGCCCCGTCTGATGCTGTCTGGCTTTCTTCATCACCAATGCATTTTGCATTGTACAGACTTGCGAGCGGAGAACAGTCAAGTGTGACACACCAAGTAGCCAACGTCATAGCAGCATTGATGATGCAGCACTTATCTGGCCGCCCACAGCCTGGAGCTTAAAAGGGGCTCCACCACACTCCTGCCTACCTAGCAATGGGAGACCCACCTGTGCTTGCACTTGGCTGCTTTCCCTCCAGGTGGAAGTCGGTAAGAGCTACGGCCGGGCCGAGTGGCGCGAAGATCTCAAGGCCTGCTGCCGACGCGCAGGATCGGAGGTGGGCGGCAGGGGTCGCTGACCGCGGGCCTCCCACACAGGGGTACAGTGAGGCGGTGCAGTCAGGCGCAGAGGAACGCTCCTGTCATCGGACCATCATGCGGTGCGGTTGCGCAAGCCGACTCACCGGCACACACTTTGAGACCCGATGCTGCTCTGCCTCGTCGACGTTGATTCTGCCTGCAGGGCAAGCGCCTCGTGTTCCTGCTCAGTGACGGGCAGCTCAAGGAAGAGGTGACATGTGGACAGGGTCCCTGGATTCTAAGACATGCGGCAGGCCAGACACTCACCCCTGCTCCTCTGCACGTTGGGCTGGTGGGCCTTGTGCAGCACCAGCCCCAACTTGCTGACACTCGCTGCACCTTCCGAGCCGGGTTCTGGTCTGAACAAGTGGCTGCTCCTTTGCATGTGTGGCCACTCTGAATTTGTCTGATACAGGCGTGGCTGGAGGACGTCAATAACCTCCTGAACTCGGGGGAAGTGCCAAACATGTTCCCCGCCGATGAGAAGATGCAGGTGGGTTTGAGGGATAGGGGATAGTTGTTCGCGAAACGCCTTGCCCCTTTCCAGGACAATCAAACGCACGAGCTTTGTGCAGCTCACACGCATGGAAAGCAGCGGGACGCGGCGTGGCGCCGGCGTGCAGTGGCCAAGTCTCGACGCTCCTTGATCGTAGTGTTTGTTTCCCCTGATGGGGCGTCTTGCAACACGCAAAGCGCCATTTTTGCAGGGCGGCCGCTCTCACGACGCTCCGCAGTCAACACACACCCGACTTCGCCGCCACCATGCACCAAACAGATCCTGGAGGCGGTGCGGCCCCTGGCCGCCCACCAAGGCCTGGAGACCCCCTTGGAGCTCTGGGGCTTCTTTGTCGCCCGCACCCGCGCCAACCTGCACCTGCTGCTGGCGCTCAGCCCCGCGGGCGCCGCTTTCAGGGAGCGGCTGAGGGCGAACCCTTCGCTGGTCAACTGCTGCACCATTGACTGGTTTTGGCAGGTGGGGAGGGGTATAGAATGGGGTAATTGGGCTGTGTGGATGCAGCAGTGAGGGACTGCTTTGGGCAGGTGCTGACTGTGCATTGCAGGGCGCGTTTTTGCGGCGGTTTGACGACGCTTGCAAAAGCCTACACAACAGGGAGATTGGCAATGCCAACTCAGGCATGCATGAGTTGAGGATGCAGGACTCGTGTCATGCTCACACACCGACCGCCTCAATCATGCGATTCTTATGCACCTTTTGACAGTGGCCGGCCGACGCTCTGGAGGCTGTGGCTCTCAAGGAGCTGCGCCAGCTGGACATGGACGCGTCGTCGAGACGGAAGCTGGTGGGAATCTGCCAGGCCGTGCACAACCAGGTGAGGCGCGCTGTCAACTCCGGGGCTGTGGGTGCAGGGCTGCGGGACCTTGCGCGTTGACTGTTGCTGTGGTCACTGAGTGATTGGTTCACTGAAGTGGACTCGACTCCCATCACCATTAACACCGTATGCATGTCATACACGAAACCTGTGTGACAGGTGTCAGAAGGCAGCGCCCAGTTCCTGTCGGCCACCGGCCGCCACAACTACGTGACCCCCTCATCATACCTCGAGCTGCTGTCGACGTTCAGGACCCTCCTGGACGCGGCGCGCGCGGACAACGCGCGCCAGCGGCGGCGCTACACCGTCGGCCTCGAGAAGCTGGCCGGCAGCGCACAGCAGGTCTGATGACTCACCCGACGCGGCAGTCCTCGCGGCTTTCTGTACCGTTGGGGTTTGCTGTTGGGGAGGAAAATTGGACGGAAGACGGACAGCCAAAGTGGACGATGACGTGGGTGGGCGGTGCCTGTTGTGCCGACAGCGGCTGCGTTTCCTGATCAGCTGAATCCAGATCTGCCGCCAACCCTTGCGCCGCACCCCGCGCCCAGCCTCATCAGCCAGATTACCCAGATCAAACAAGCCAATGACCAAAATGATCCGCTGTCCCCACAGGTAGAGGCGATGCAGGCGGAGCTCGTGGCGCTCCAGCCCCAGCTGGTGAAGACAGTGGCTGAGGTGGAGGCCCTGATGGCGCGCATCGCGCACGACAAGAAGCACGAGGTGGGGGCGGGGCCTGCGAGGGCCGCGGCTGTATGTGATGGAGGTTTACAGGCTCGCAGCAATGCAAAGACGGGGCGGGTGGTTGGGTCGGGATTCAAGTTGTAGAGGAGCGCGTGCCTGTGTGCTTTGTGGTCAAGCAAAATGGTTTGGAGGCAGCGTCTAGTGGGCGGGTCTGGCCGGCAGTCGCTGCCACGGTAGTTGAGAGTGGCGAGCAGCATGCACAGCGGTTTTCAAGGGCGATGGGTGTCCTGCGCAGGATATCATTTGCTCGAGTGTTTCACCCTCAGAATCGATTTGAAAACAATCGTTGGGGTCCGAATTTCGCGCCTGTGCACCCTGCCCACACACGCGTGCGCGCACACACACACACAACACACATAAACACTCACACATGCACAAACACAATCACACATATTCAAACATTCACATATCTACACACTTGACTCGCCCAAACGCGCCGCAGGTTGAGCCCAAGGCGGCGGTGGTGCGGGAGGAGGAGGCGCGGGCCCGGGCGGCGGCCGACGCGGCGCGCGCCATCAAGGACGAATGCGAGGCTGACCTGGCAGAGGTGGGTGCGTGTGTACATGGGTGGGGGCTGGATAAGAGCATATGCAGAGAGCAATGTACACCACACAAGAGGCATGTCCCTGCACTGGACCTGACTGCAGCTTGCAGCCATGCCACAAGCTGAAGGAAGCCCTTGCCTGTTGTTATGTTTTGTCCATCTGATGGTGGCTCCCTGCAGGCCATCCCAATCCTGAATGACGCCCTGGCCGCCCTGGACACAATCAAGGAGGCCGACATCACCTAGTGAGGGAGGGATGTTGGGTCTTTGGGTGCAGGGTACATGGATCAGGGTTTAGGGGGCATGGTGTGTCCAGGGTTCAGGGTTGGATGAGAAGGTCACGCGTGTAGGGCCTACGGTGGAGCGTGAAAAGGGGGTCCGCAGCGCCCTGCTCTCCAGGCCGCAAATAGTGGATGCTGGAAGGAACCTCCCAGCTTGTGCCCTTGCCATTTCCCTGCAAACGGGGACCGACACACAAAGAGCCGTGCGTGTCGTGGGGCCCGCGCGCTCACCGCAGCATGCGCAAGCTGGCCAACCCTCCCGCCGCCATCAAGCTTGTGCTGGAGGCGGTGTGTGTGGTGCTGGATGTCAAACCAGTCAAGGTGTGCAGGGGTCAATGCTGATCATGCACTTTAACAAGCTTGCAAGTCCGCACGGCGCATTGGACTGACGCCTGCTGGGGGCGCTGCGGCGCAGGGAGGGGCTGCTAGCCGGCTGCCTGCAATGGGCATGCCTTACTGTGCTTGGGCCTTGTTGAATAACCTGCACAGCATATGCGGTCAACCGCGCCAGCTGCGGCCGGCGCAGGCGTTGAAGCTTCAAGAGCATACCAACGCTTATGTACTCAAAAAACGTCTCCGCGGGTGTGTGATCCCCAGGGCAAAGACGAGGCGGGCAAGGAGATCAAGGACTACTGGAAGCCCAGCGTGGCCCTCCTGAACGACAGGTGGGGGTTTTGGCACCGGCACCTCCAGCCAGCCGGCGCGCAGCAGGCTTCAGGCTAAGCTGCTCGCTATTGCGGGGATGCCACACTGGGCTGGCTGCAGCTGCTGAAACGCTCGCCCTGCGCGGGGCCGCGATTGCCATCCCTCCTTGACCTCAGGGAGTTTTTGTCAAAGCTCAAGGCGTATGACAAGGACAACATCGCGCCACGGTGGGGCGGGGGCAAGAGGGCGGTCACATCATTAGGAAGGCCCTTGCTTTTGCTTTTTTTCGGCAATTGCTTGTGAGTAGACGGCCGCCCAATGTGCGTCACAAGTGCACATTCTGAAGCCCCAGCTGCACGCAGACACGCAACCGCAGGCAAATCACGCCCACGTAATACCCCGCCTTGTTCACCCCCACTCCTCCCCCCGGGCCCCCACCCACACCCCCCCCCCCACACACACATGCGTGCGCAGCATCATCGCCGCCATCCGCGCCACCTACATCCCTGACGTGGGCTTCACGCCGGACGTCGCCAAGAGGGCCTCCCCCGCGGCGGAGGGGCTCTGCAAATGGGTCCACGCCATGAGCTCATACGACAAGGTGGGCCTCAACGGTTGCACGGCGTGCTGCATGTGTCTGGTTTATGGGACCAAGCACGGCGCAGTCGGGACGGAGGTGGTTCTGCTGAGGGCGGCACTCTTGCCGGCTGAGTCGGTGATAGGTGAAGAGCGCCTGATGTGGAGCGCTCGCAACCGCTTGCCCTCCTGGGGTGTGCGCTTCATGCTCGGCGCCAGGATGGGGTTGCCTGGACCAATTCACGGTCAAAGCGGCCGACCGCGCTGAGCCATGTTGGATTTCTTGCTGATCCAGGTGGCCAAGGTGGTGGCGCCGAAGCGCGCCAAGCTGGCGGAGGCGGAGGGGACTTACGAGGGCGTCATGGCGGGGCTGAAGGAGAAGCAGGGGGAGCTGCAGGTGCGAATGTGTTCGTGTGTGGCGGAGGGGAAACGTCTGTGGAAATGTTGGCGCCGGGGCCAGCAGTGCGTTTGGCGGAGCTGGAGCGGCCGCGGCGCATCCGGGACATGAGGGTGGATGGGAGGCAGGAGCATCCAACCACCCCTGCTGCCTTGTATTCTGGTAAGCTTTGCAAGGACACAACCGCGAAACGTTGCCCTCAGTCGCGAGCCTGGGGTATGCCCCCATTTGGGTTGGGTGCCGGCCTAGCTGCTATTGAGCAAGCACAAACCCCACCCCTTGCACCTGCCAGGCCCTCCTCGACCGCCTGGCGGGGATGGAGGCCGACCTGAAGGCCAACACTGAGAAGAAGGAACGGCTGGAGGGGGAGATAGAGCTGTGCAGCATCAAGCTGGGGAGAGCGGTGGGTGGCAAGATGTTTGCATGCACGTGTTTGTGTGTGTGTGTGTGCGCACGTGTGTGTGTGTGTGTGTGTGTGTAAACAG